TGTTTAAAACAAAATATAGATATACTTTCAAAAATGTATGTATGTGTATATATATATATATATATATATATATATATATATATATGTATTTATTTATTTATTTATTTTTTGCTGTATGGGCAAAATGGTTCCTAAAAGTGATAAGTACTTAGGAGAAACATACTTAAATCTTGATACTTAAATTTCTATTAAGTTTCCTGGGGCATGAAATACAAACCTCTGAGCAATAAAATGTTCCTCAGGGAATGAAAAAAAAAGTAAATAAACAATCATTGATTGATTTTTATTGATCAGGGGTTGCTCTTTGATAGCTTGGGAGACTTATATGAGATCTAAAAGCATCTTAAAGATAAAGAAATGCCTGGGTGGTAGTGAAAACTTTGTCTAGCTAGTAACATTATATTTTGGTCCTCAAGCTCTGCTGCTTACATGGCAAAAATGATTCACCACAGTAAACCACCACTGGGCCAGAGGTAACAATGCACCAGCATGTCAATGACCTGCCCACAGAAATGGTGGTCACCATTCCCAAGTGGACCTCTAATGTATAAGGAGACTACACACACTACAAATACACAGCTAAATATACTGAACAAAGTAAAAATAAGGTTAAAAAAGATGTGAGAATTGATGTTTTAAACAATCCAGAAATGAACTGTTTCACCCTGTGTTAATGAGCAACCAAAATGTCCATCCAGAGCAAGCACTAGCCCTCCCTAACATATATATGTGTGTGTGTGTGTGCAGCTAATTGAGGAAGTCTGGGGGATGTGTGTGACTCGTCTTGGAGGCCAGTCGTCAGTTGCCATAGCGACCTGCTCTCCCACCTTGTGTCGGTCCTGTGCTTTTGTGGAGGTGTGAGAGGAGGTGGAGGACTCACTCACTCTAGCTTTATCTATCTTTCCACCCCCTCTCACTGCGCTACTGTATCTCAAAGCTGTTAAAAACATCCCTTTCATTTTAACTATTCGGTTGGCTTAGCTAAAGTGAACAGGAAGTTGAGTGTAATTAGGAATTGGTTGCTTACAGGTGAAGAATTACTGTCAACGGCTGTAGAAATGGCCAAACTGCTTTTGCCGTCTGTTTAGCTGCTTCGGTGCCATTGCAATTTGAAAAGAAAACACAAGTTTTACATGGAAGTTTAGTGGTTTCAGCAGACAGAACGGTTATCCATCACACAATCTGACAGAAATGTTTTTCTTGTATTTCTGAAAGGTGGCTAGATTGACAGGCCTTTATCTGCTGCTGGTGCTGGCGTTGAAATGTTAATTTTACATGAGTCAAACTGCATCAAGACAGAGGATTGGGCTGTTGACTTTGGCTTGGTCTTTTTTCTTGCATTTAAAAGGGATTTCCAAGGGCTCAAGCTGGCTAAGCTCTGTGATATGAAGAGAGAAATGAAAAAGTGTGGAGAATATTTGGATTACCAAGCAAAATATACCAATATAAAAATAAATGTACTTGCTTGTTTAGTGTTAATTCATAGGTGTCAATCAACCGGGGTAATTGTTTGAAATTATTATTTTATATATTATTACATACTTTTCAAGATCGAGATATAAACTAAAAGAGGTCTAGAGAGGTTGGCAGTCACTGTGTATGTGAACTGCTAGCCAGGTTTCTAAAAAAGCCAGTGGAGCATGATGCTAATGTGAAGCCGAGGGCAAGTGTATGCCTGACTGCTCTAACACCGGCCTTCAACCCGTATACATGACTTTAATAAAGAAGAAAATGCCTTAACAGCCTGAGTATATAAGGTGAGTATATCTGGATACCATAGATGTTTTAAGAAAATGAAATTAATTAAAATGGAGAAACTAGACCTTGAAGGAGAATCTAATCGGTCTTAAATGGACAGTTCACCCAAAAAGGAAATTGTTGTCGTGTTTTTTTTTTGTTTTTTTGCGCACAAAAAGTATTCTCGTAGCTTTATAAAATTAAGGTTGAACCACTGATGTCCCATGGACTATTTTAACAATGTCCTTACTACCTTCCTGGGCCTTGAATGTGGTAGTTCCCTTGCTGTCTACGCAGAGTACGAAAGTTCTCTGATTTCATCAAAAATATCCTAATTTGTGTTCCGAAGATGAACAAAGGTCTTACGGGTTTGGAACATGAGTGTGAGTAATTAATGACAGAATTTTCATTTTTGGTTAAACTATCACTTTAATTAGTAGCTATATGTGCTCGTTGCAGACAATGACAGTAACTCTTACAAATATAAAGGTTATTTATTGGAATCCATGGTTCCATGAACATCCATGGAACCTTTCCATTGCACAAAGGTTCTTTTCAGTGGAAAGGTTCTTTAGATTATTGAAACGTTCTTCACCTGACTTCTGACACTAAGAAAATTGGTTCTTTCAAGAACTATTCATTGAAAGGTTCATTGGGGAAACAAAAATGGTTCTTCTATGGCATCACAGTGAAAACCCACATTTGGAACCTTTGTTTTACACTTTAAAAGTTTAAGTCAGAAAAAACAAAAAACAAAACAGTGATTCATCTTTATGTGATTCATCTGTGATTTTTTTTGCACAGTCGATAACAGATCTATAATATGATTGTAGCTTGGCTTTGTTCAGTATGTATACAAATTAATCAGACTACAATTGACATTGCGCGTTTGCTCCAAGAGACAAAAGTGACATTCGATGTGTATTTAATCATACAAATATTTGATTACGTATTGTGTTATGCATACTTGGACAGACAGATGAAAGCTGTAGCTTGAATACACAAAAACCCTGTTAAACTAGATTATAACTGTGCATGTAAACTTACTATGTGTGCATTTGACTGCTTCACTGATTTCACTAACCTAAACAAACTTTTATATTGTTCCAGCTGAAGGGCCCCGAAATCTTCAGTCAAATACTCTGGACAAGACTGTGAGAAAGAAAGAGGGGTAGACTATGGTCACTAAAACATACAGGACCGAGAGAGTGTTAAAAAAATAATAAAATAATTAGGGGGAAAAAAAACAAAAAAACACTTTATTTAGTGCAGCAATTAGGTTACAGTTGTCAAAGGTTAGAAATGAAAAATCAATGAACGAATAAATAAAAACAGACAATCAAAGCCACAACAAAGTTTTGGTTTTAGAAATGTTAATTCTTTAACTTAAGCATATTGTGATTTTTATTTCATATTTATATCGGTAACACTTTAGTATAGAGACCAATTTTCACTATTAACTAGTTGCTTATTAGCATGCATATTATTAACATATTGGCTGTTTATTAGTACTTATAAAGCACATATTCTGCATGACCATATTCTACATCCCTAATCCTACTCAATACATAAATTTAACAACTACCTTACTAACTATTAATAAACAGCAAATTAGGAGTTGATTGAAGCAAAAGTCATAGTTAATGATTTGTTAATAGCGAGAATTGGACCTTAAAATAAAGTGTGGCCTTTATTTTTATTTAAAACATTTTATTTGAATAGTTTTTCTTTAGTTTATTATAATAACACTGGTTTAAAATATGACTTTTTATTGTTCTGTCTTTTGTGAGTAAGTTATATTAGAGACAGATAAAGAAATGGCTCTCTGAATAGGATGTCTTGCTATTTGTTGAACTTTAGCTCAGCATCCCCAACATGCACGTCAAGGGTTGCTATCGTAATCTAGGAGGCTGTTTGTGTTTGTTTCTGAAGCTCGATACCCCCCAGATTGACACTTGTCTATTTTACCACCAACATTCACAAATACAAACAGCATGGACACATTCTGAGGCATTATGGGTAATTGATTGCACTGGGCAGGGGGTGTGTATCATGACGTAACATATCGTGACTTTCAAATCAAACAAAATCTGATTCAGATCTGAATAAATTCACAGTATCTTTCATATGAATCACCTTCCTAAATCAACAACTCTCTCA